TTAAAAAAAAAAAAAAAAGGGGGTCAAAAAGAAGCAAAAGTAGAAAAGGGGAAGAAAAGATGCTACAGAGGAAAACAGCGTTCATTATTCAATTTCCTATGAATAAGCATTGATGTTAGGCATATACAACTTTAGGGATTTTCTGCAAAATGCTTGGAAAAAAAAAAAAAAAAAAAAAAAAAATGATCAGGAGTCTGAAACTCTGGGCTCAAGCTGTGATCTTTGCTGGCTCCTCATATCAGCAAAGCCCTTCCTCTCTCTGGGCCTCAGCATCCACCTTCAGTCATTAGGGCAGATGAAGCAAATTCTAGAATTTTGACCTCTGCCCATTGGCTGTTTCTGCAGTTCCTGGCGACAGCATGGGTGACCTTATCCTGTGTGTGCGTGTTCCCTGGGGCAGGCTGTTCTCCACCTGTAGCTTTCACAGCCTCAGTGCTAACCACCATGTGAGCAGCCCAGTCCAGAGGCCAGGGGTCCTCTGGGCATCTTCTGTGGACGCTTCAGGAAGCAGGCATCCCCCTCTTCCCAAATCTCCTTCCTGAGATCAAGGACAAATGTTTGAAGCCTGTTCTTAGACGCACACCTGACCTCAAGTGTCCTCAAACCTAGCTTTATATATCATAGTGACTCCACAGAGCCTTTATCTGTAGGGCATAGGTTGGACAGGACAGTATTACTATTATCCCGCCTACTTAGGTTTTCCATTATCCACTGACAAACAGTCGAGGTAAATAGCTCTGCTTGAAGAGTACTATTTTCTGGGCACTTCACTTTCCGATGGAACATCCACTAAGCACAGAGATTTGCATTCTTCATGCAGTTTCTGTTATCAAAATAACCACTTGGAATGAGAGTGATCATCTCTATTTCTCAATTAAAAAAATGACAGGCTCAGAGTAGCCTAGTAATTTGTCTAGGCTCGCTTAATCAAGTGTACAGGGCAACGGGCTCGTCTGTGCAGCTCCACACTCAAGCTCTTCCCACCAGTTCTGAGTCCGGTTCCTCCAGGGCTGCTCCCTGCACACAGCAACCTCAGTACAGGAAGGAAGGAATCCTTGCTTAGATGCAAGGCACAGGTGGCTTCTCTCTGACACCTCTGGCTCCTATCTCCTGCTAGGGACTTCCCACAGTGGGTGGGGCGAGGCTGGACCTCAGCTCATTAACCTCAGGATGGAGCTTAAAGGCCTCAGAGATTTCATAGCCCAGCCAAAGGGATGTGGGTTATGTCCGAAGAGCCAGGAAAGGATGCAAGCCCTCAAGAAACAGGGCTGTGATCAGATTCTGTGCTCAGCCCTGCTTGTGCGATGGAGAATCAAAATGGGATCAGACATGGTCTCGGTCCAGAAGCATTCCTTGTCCACAGAACCAAGCCTGGAGTCTCAGCAATAGGTCATCTTCCATCATGTGCCCCAAAGATATTTCTGATTTGCGTAGTATTCTGAGGCCTCACTAAGCAAAGTGTGAGCAAGCAACACTGGCTTGCTCAGGGAACCAGTCAGAAATGCAGACTTTGAAATTCTTCACCCCAGAAGCACTAAACTTAAATCAGTGCTTTAGTAAAATTTCCAAGTGCTTCAGACGCACACTAAAGCTTGGAAACTCTTGCACTACGGCCGTGGTTTACAAGTCTCTCTGTGCCTCAGAGACACTTGGAGAGTGCTCAGAGGTAGATGTGTGGGGTGGCTTTAGGCTTTCCAGGTGATTCTGAGGCATAGAACCATAATCTGAGGTCATTAGCAGCGGGTGCTTCCTATATACACTAGGCAGGGAAACAGCCATTCATTCATTCACTCCTAAATTCAGCAGAACTTTCTGGAGTGCCTCCTTTACATTGGCCCAGTGGGAAGCACCAGGGATTTGAAGTCAGTCCCTGCTGTGGAAAGATTACACTGAGAAGGCGAACAGCTAAGCAGAAAAGTGTCTTAAGATACTACAGACATTAACAGTACATCTGCCTAGACTCTAGGAAGGATGTAGCTAGTTCTACTGGTGCAGAAGGAGTGAGGGCCCAGGAATGAGATTATAGATCAGGTGATACGTGGGCTGACTCCCAGGAGATGGGTAGGTGCTCCTAGGTGAGGAAGGGCCCTGACCGGCAGTGTGAGAGAAACGAAAAGAATGGGGACTTTGTGTCTAACAGACTGCAGCTTTCCATCCTGCCACTTAGCAGCTTGCAACCCTAGTCAAGTCCCTTCACCTCTCTGTCTTAGATTTCTGAAATCTGAGGGGAAAATCCCTACCTGGTATATGATAGTGAGAAAAATAAGGCTGTGCATATGCATGCTAGACTGCCCCTGGGACAGACTGCCCCCCCCCATGCATACGGATCCATGGTGGCTGTCTCCTCAGCCCTGTTCTTTAAGTTGGAGAGGATGCACCCGGGCGGCATCCAGGACACCATCAGGAGCACAGGCGTGGCTCCCTGTGCCAGGTGGCCCGAGGAAGAAATGAGTTGAAAAATGTCTAAAGAGCAGCACAGCCTAGAGAAGGCTCTTGAAAATTGCCTTTGGTCCTTGCACCAAAACATCAGGGACGTCATCATTTGACAGCTGAGGGGCCTGCGGCCAAATGGTTCAGGTTACCCCCTGTTGGAACCTGGGCTGCCTGCACTCGAAGCAGTCATTACTTCCTTATTCTTCACTGACCACCAGACCTCAGCTTTGTCCTTGAGCACAAAGACATGGCCATGGCTCTTGCAGACTCTGGGACAGTCCTGCCAGTGCCACCTCGCCTGGAGCTCACCCACCTGAGAAGCTGCACAGGTGACATTTCCCTGGGGCAGTGCAGGGGACAAGAGCTGAAAGCACAAGGGGCTAATATGAGTGGACAGGGCCCCCACCGTCCTCCCTCAGGGACCATTTCCTGCCTAGGTGGATAGTGCCAGTTTATCATGAGTGATGTGCAAAGAAATGAAATCGTCCCCCCATCTCCCAGTTGTCATGAGGAAAGCTGAGAGATCAGCCACTCCAACACTGCAGAACAGGATCTAAGGTCACCCTATTTAATTTAGCCAAAATCAGTGTCATCTGGGAAGATTAAATCTGGGTTACATTATTAGAATAAGTCACAAGGACATTTCAAGATAAGCAGGACATCTGTACTATCCCCACTCTGCCTAAATGAGAAGCAAAAGAAAAACTAATTTGAATACAGATACCACCTAAATAAACTGAAAATAAAGATGCTCTCTATGTTAGTCATCTTTCTGTTTTTGGGATCAAACTTAGGACCTTGCGCTTGCCAGACAGGCACTTATACTACTGAGCTATCTCCCCGGCCCTTCATGGGACTTTGAGGAACAGTTGATACTTATACCATAACACCATCTCCTAACGCCAAGTGGCAGTGCGGATGGGCCAGGGCACTGAGCTGAACACTGGAAATGTAACAGTGAATAAAATCTGGTCTCTTTCCTTCAGGTACTGGTGGCTGGCTCTAGGAGAGAGACATATAAATAAAGAGCTTAGACATTATGAGAAGTGTCCTGTAATCCAGATGCAAGCTAGTATGGATCTCAGTGTACAGAGAGGCAGGGAGGGTTTGCCAGAAAAGGTTCCCTTTGGGCAGACAATTGTGGAATAGCTGGGAAGGAGAACAGAAAGGAGTGAGGGCAGGAACCAGGGGCAAAGTCCTGAAGCTCACTGAGGGGTGTGCCATAGGTGTTCGCAAAGAATAATGTGTCTAACAAGAGTGGCCAGGAAGGCAGAACCACCATGATGGAGCCCACGTTTCCTCTGTAGGCAGGAGTATTGGGAGAGAACAGGAAGGACATGTTGGTGTCTGGTTTAGATCAGCAAGTATGGCCATGGACAGAGACCTGGCCTTGGTGTCAGAAGGAGGCGATAGGCCAGTGGTACTAGGGTAAAGAGGAAGTTCCAGGGAACATCATGTTGTGGTCACCAAATTCGAGGAAGGACAGCCATGGGTCTGGATGCCTGGCTTCATCCACAATGGCCAGGCCCCAAGGGTGCTGTCCAAAGCTCGATGAGCAGCAGGGCCAGAGGAGGTGGCCCTTTCCTTGGACCCCCAAAAGATCATGGCAGAACAGCTTTCATAAGTAATTGAAAAAACTCTAGATTCCAATACAGAATTTTGTTTTTCAAAAGGACCCAAACCTATATGCTTGGTAAACATAGACTAGTCCCCTTCTGGGCCTTTCTGGCTCTCTTGCTTATGTCCTGAAGGAATATGCAGTGGCCTGCCCAAGTGATACCCAAAGGACCCTGGCATGTGTGCCACCTTCAGTGAGCATGGCCAACACCAGCCCATCCGATCTCAATATGGAGAGGTCAGTTTGCACCCAAAAGCATTTCAGACACTCAGAAAGAGCTACTGATGCCCACAAGGGTCACACACAGGAGCTGAAAATTAGCTTCCTGGGAATGGTGAATCCAACCACAGTGGGCCCTAGACTTGGAAGAAATGGTGCGCAGCATCAGGAGATAGTGAGATACAGCTCAGCAAGCAGTGCCTACCTGAACACATTCCACATGCAATCTCTACTAACTAAAACAGCAGCCATGATTGTGGAATGCCTCCTTGGTGCTTCACTACACTAAACATTCGACATTTGTGATTCTTTTGATTTTTCCCAGTACACCCATGGTGTAGCTGTTAACATCTCCATTTTGTAGATGAAGAAAACTTGAGGCTCAGGGGCCAAACAACCTGCCCAGGTTTTAGATGCAGCAAATTCTAGAGCTAGCCTTGGAACCCAGACTGATTCTGTGTTCATCCACCCTGTGGCAGGGGCTAGACCTTGTCTCCTGAAGGTTTCTACCCAAGCCCGGCCTTCGTGGCTCTGTCCCTGAGACAGACCCTCAACATCACTGCTCCTCTGTTTTTCCTGCGGTCCTGATACAAATTACAAACTAATCTCACAGCTCATTCATATCTAGAGACTCCTGGGACCCTGATAAATACAACATGAGTATCGGCAGGAGACAGTGTTAACAATGACCCAGAGTCGGATCTGTTGTCTTATGTGTCAGTCCCAAGATGGGGTGGGAGTCGCTATAAGATTCCTGTGGAGAAGTGGTTTTATGTCTTGTAGCCTTTACATTGTTTTTTAAAGTCAACTCCCCCGTGTTTCTACCTGTTAGATGCAGCCAGGCCTAGTGCAGGCCTCACTGATCATCTTCTTAGGAAAACACGACATGCAGCCACCAGCAAGAGGCGTCTGCATTCTCAGTTAGGTGGAAGGGGTCTAAGCCTTGAGGTCAGACAACTGGGGAGGTCCCCTGAAATGGAAATATCATCCCTGGGAGACTCTGGCTTGGGTTCAAAGGTCAGGAGGTCAAGCTGCACGTCTCCAGCGACCTGGCATGAAAGAAGCAAGCTCTCACCCCTGGCCATGTCTTTCTTTTCCAGCCATAGTCCAGCACATAAATACTACCTGACCACGGACCCCATGAGTGGGGCCGTCTTCCTTTCTGATACCAACAGCCGGCGGGTGTTTAAGATCAAGTCCACCGTGGTGGTGAAGGACCTTGTCAAGAACTCTGAGGTAGTAGCAGGGACCGGCGACCAGTGCCTGCCCTTTGACGACGCTCGCTGTGGGGACGGCGGGAAGGCCACAGAAGCCACACTCACCAATCCCAGGGGTGAGGCCTTGCTCTTTAAATACTATGGAGAAGTAGTATACGGAGAGAAGTTAGAATTGCGATAGTGCTACCTACCGGAAATACTCCCACTCACCACTTCCACCCGGTCCTTTTCTAGATGGTTCTGAGTATGCCACACTCACTAAAGTCAAGCACGCTAAATGAAATCACATGCAACAGTTCGGGTAACCTGCTGTGTGCCCTCGGTGATGTACCATGAATTCTTCTCCACGTCATTACTCCTCTATGTTTAATAGTCTTCTTGGTTTTAGTGGCTAGGTAATCTTCCTTTAGTGGCTGGCCCATCCTTCAGTTATCAGTATGAGACTGTTGGACATGAATGCTATTTCTAATGTTATAGTTATGTAGAAACACCATTATACATCATTCTGGCATATGCTGATGTGCTGTCCAGCGGGTTGGCTATAAGTTTCAATTCTGAGTCCTTTAGAAAGTTGAACCACTAAATGCCCTTACTCAGTATCTTTCGTTCACTTATTCAGCAAGTACTGACTGAATGCATGGCGCACTGTGGTTGTATGGACAAGTTCGCCGTAGCAAAGTAACTGAGACTCGGACACATCATTCTGGAAGCAAGAGAGAAAGCCGTGTGCGAGAGCTGAGGGACCCCTGCCCCTTGGAGATGAGGAAGCTTGTTAGATGCAAAGCCGTCCACACCAACAGGCAGCCCTCAGGGGCGTCCACTGCAGCACCAGCCCTGCAGCCAGTGACGTGCAGTGCCCCAGCCTCAGGGGCCTTCTGAAAAGGACAGGGTGTAATACTGTCTGCATATGCCTTCCAGGGTCAGTCTGCCGGCCACCATTAATATACGTCAGGTGATATCCTGCTAAAATGTTATAGGTAATCATTTTATTAAAGACTGCCAGGGCTGGGGAGCTAGCTCAATAGGATAAGTGCCTGCCTGGCAAGCGCAGGGTCCTGAGTTCAATCCCCGGTACTGCAAAAAACAAAGCAAAACAAACAAGACTGCCACATTTTAAGGCCTGATTGCAAGCCAAAGCAGTTAACTTTTCTTTAATTATCCACTCTGTCCGGGCATTGCTGTCTACTGCTGTATGGCTTTGGGCAGGTTCCTTCGCCTCTCTGGGCATCACTGTCCTCATCTACGTAATAGGAATGTGCTGTACAGTTACCACACAAATCAAATATCATAAGCAATGTAAAGGCTTGGTTCAGGAGCACGAGGCCCATGGTAGGCGGCACGTAAGCGCTGGCTCCCGCTGCTTTGCTGCATCGCATTATGTTACAGCACATGTCATGTCCTCGTGGCACTGCGGCTCTCTCATCCGCGTGCCTAGGTGGGTCAGGTGGAAACTCTGGGGTAAACCCTGTTTCGTCAGTGCTTGGCGTCCCTCCTAGTGATGATTTTATACACCACAAGAGCAGTCTGCAGAGTGGCAGAGTGCTGGGCTGACACTGAGAGACCCCGCACTATGCTTCTTCTCTGTTCTGGCTGGCTCTGGGACCTCCTTTCTGGGCCTCAGTGTCCCCATGAGTAAGTGAGCAGGTTAGGCTAGCCAGTCCTGAGGCCCCTCTCAGCTACACCGTTCTACTTCTTAGGATTAAAACAGCTTTTTCTAGAGAATTTTGTTCGCCCTAAGCGCGCCTCGGTTGCCCTCCACACATGTGCGTTCCCCACCCCACCACACACAGATGGAGCGGCGGTGCAGTGCCCACAAGCCTGTAATTAACCCAGGGAGAAACAACAAGGGTGCCACAATATGCAGACACTTTGCAGTAGGAAGGAGGAAAGATGTCCATCTATTTAGCACAACAAAAGGAGAAAAAATGAAGTCATTAATCAGGGGACAGATCACTTCTATTAGCCTGTGCAGCCAACTTTGTAAACAAGAAACCTAATTGTTCATGGAGCGCTCATCAGTCTGAGCAGATGGAAGAGAGAGAGACAGGGCACAGCCAGGCAGACAAGAGAACTCATGGCTTGGTACTTAAGGAATAAAATTAGTTTACATTCGAGTCAAGACCACGGGAAAGGCTCCCGGCTTGAGGCTGCCTGCTCCTCTGTGTGAACGCCTCCCGAGCTGCCCAGCTGAAGGAGGGGCGGAAGGAGGAACTACGCTTTAGGGGCCATCCCTTAGCCCCCTGCTACCAAGAAAGAGACACACGGGCCCCCAGGAGCAAGGACCTCGCAACCCACAAAGTGTCAGCTGTGTCTTCATAATCCTGCTCATCATGAATAGATCAAAGACTAATTGTTCCAACCAGATGTTATCCTCCTATTTTATCAATGAAGACACTGAGACTGATAAAGTAGTTTAGCTGGTCATGCTGGCATACAACCACAATCCCAGCACTCTGGGAGGCTGAGGCAGGAGGATTGCAAATTAGAGTTCTACCTGGGCAATTTAGTGACACCCAACCCCAAAAGAAAAAATAACATCTGGTGATATGGCTCAGTGTGAAAGCCCAGGATCCACCTCCCTGAAGAAGAGGAGGAAGAGGAGGAGGAGGAGGAGGGAGTGAAGTAGTTTGCCTAAGCCAGCATTACCAGGGAGCCTCCCAAGCAGGCATCCGCACCTTGGCGAGCTTGTTCGATCCCCTCTTCCGTTGCCTGCCCAGGAGAGCTGAAGCAGAGCAAAAGCAACCTGGCTGTCCTTCGTCCCACTGCCGCCCTCTCGGATGGTCCATGTCCTGTGGTCCTCCACACGGCCCTCCTTCAGCCCCATGCCAGCCACTGTAGACCAGGCCATCCTTGGCATGTCCCTCTGTCACCCTGGGGCGGTCGCATTCGGTGGGCTCTGTATGATTCTTGTAATTCTGGACCTGGCATGGCAGTAATCACTACCTGTGAACACGAATTTTAAAGCCTGCCTCAGTCCTAGTGCCAGCCGGCCACTGAACAGCAGAGTCCAGGAGCGAGGCCAAGCAGGTGCATGCTGCAAAGGCTGCCTGTGTGATTCCAGTGCACATGGTTGGCCCAGAAGTACTGGTTTCACAGAGTCGTTTAGCTAATAAAGTAGTTTACCTGGTCAGGCTTTAGTTCTTATCACGATCACCCAAAATGCTGGTCAGCAGTGCAGACAGACGCTTGGGCTCCACTAGGGATCGTCTGAAGCAGCCACTGGGGTGGGCATAGCATACTCTGCAGGGAGATTCCTACACATGAGAATACACATGTAGAACAGTCCCTTCCTTTGACAGTAGAGAAAGCCAATGTGGAGATTCTGGCAACTTGCCCACACAAGAAGGGTCAGGAAGAAACTGAATGGGTGAGACAGTCTGACCTGCGGAGCAGGTGATCCTGGGTGATGATCCTGACTCCTGTCTCCATGAAAGCCTTCCTTGGATGTTGGATTTAACAATATTCTTATGTATGTCTATAGGATCCTTTTCAGACTCTACACTTTTATCCTGACCAGTGAAGCTAGTAAATAGAGAAACTTGATGGATGATTGTCACAGAAAAAAAAAAAAAAAATTGTCCAAGAAAGGGATTTGATCATCAGAGTTGCAGGCCCAAAACTTCACAGTGATGGTCACTGGTTCTTGAGCCACACAAGCCCCCAAACGTTCGGAATCCAGCTTTTGTGAATGGATAAGGAAATAGATAAAAATCTCTGGGCACAGCAGAGTGGGAGGGCCAGAGCTCAGGAGGAGCTGAGAACTTGAATTCTAATCTCTGCTTTGAACAAAGCGCTCAGACCAAGCCATCTCCCTATCTTTGAAAGGAGGCTGCTGGGCCAGGGATACAATTCCATGGTAGATCTCTTCCTAACATATGCAAGGTCCTGGGTTCAATCCCCAGCACCACAAGGGGTGCATTTGTGGAAGGATCTAGTCAGATCACAGTGGAGATGGTCTTGTCGGGTTGCAGGGCGCCCAGGTCTTGTGGGTCCTTGTCATCTCTGACTTTGAGTTCCCGCATTGGCTTCTGCACCCTCAGGCATCACCGTGGACAAGTTTGGGCTGATTTACTTCGTGGATGGAACCATGATCAGACGTGTCGATCAGAATGGAATCATCTCTACCCTGCTGGGCTCTAATGACCTCACGTCAGCCCGGCCCCTCAGCTGCGATTCTGTCATGGATATTTCTCAGGTGAGAAGATACTGCCTGCTAGAGCCCTCATCCTCCTCTCACCTGCCAGCCAGCCCACTGGCCATGTCTCTACATTGCACAAGCTTTAAAGCATTCCCACTTGGTGCAGGGCCTGTGATGAACCCCCAGGGCAAGAAGACAAGGAAGCCTGCCCCCACTGTCCCTGAGAGCCTGCCATCAGAGTTAACATGTTTGGAGGCCCTAGTGGAGGCCCAGGACCAGTGATGACATCTGCCCAAGGCTAGCAGAGAAGGGCGGGCAAAATTTACCTTGTGAATTTAAGCCCATAGCTACCTGGACTCCCTTCCTGATAATATACACAGGTACTTCTACATTGTCTGTTCTGTCTAGACCAGAAGCTACGTGAGAACAGGAATTCCAGGCTTTATCCTCAACTATAACCAGATTGCCTGGTATAGAGCAGGATTATAGCCCATACTGTTGATTGCTTGATTGAGTGATTGAATCCTAGCTTTGCCGCTTACTAGCTCATACCTTCAGGTAGATCTGTGCTGGCCAGCCTTGGGATTCCTCAAAAGAGCATGCACCGGTGCATGCAGTTCCTCACACCGCTCAGCAAGCCACAAATGAACAAGCAGAAGTTTCTCCTGCCCCTTTGCACAAGGGAGCTGACATTTGTGCCAGGTTTTGAAGTTTCAGTAGGACTTCAGTGGGTGGCAGAAAAAAAAAAAAGGAGACATTTCACACAAAGGGCCTGACTGTGCAAAGGCATGAGGTGCTAAGGAGCACGGTATAGTCAGTGAACTTTCACAAACGGAATGCCAAAGCGTAGGGTGCCTGGCGGAGGTGGCAGGGTTTGAGGCAGGAAGCTTGCTGTGGGGCCAGCTAGAGGAGGACCCTGCAACACCGTGCCAGAGGGTTGGGATGTTGGCTGCTAGATAAGGACAAACCCAGAGGACACTGGTGGCTGGCTGCCCAGTGAGACCTCCGTACATACCGCAGTGCGCAAGCCAAGGCCATGTCCTTCATTGCTGGCTTCTTGGGCAAGGCCTGGCCTGTGGGAATTAGGGAGCCCATCTTTTCTTTTTTTTTTTTTTTTTTTTTGCAGAACCAGGGATTGAACTCAGACCCTTGCACTTGCCAGGGAAGTGCTTATTCTACTGAGCCATCTCCCCAACCCCATGAGTGCCATCTTGCCCACATTCCCAGAACCTAGGAAATGAGGAGGCCAGCTGCAGCAGAGAAGGGTAGACAAAGCCTGCTCACACCCACACTTGTCAGGTGTGCTGCGCCAGGTGTGCCCAGCGGCACTCATATCTGCGAGCTTGCACAGCCTCACGGCTACCACTGTGCGCACATTACAGCGCCCAGGTCTCATCCCTGTGCACCCTCCAGGGTAGAGTCTGCTCGCTGCCACTCGTCCTTGCAGTTGCCAGGCTTCCCCTTGCTGGCTGCAGAGGCTCCGCTCCAGTCTGTGAGCACCCTGGTGTCGCTCTCCACAAACCTGCCCTGGCCACCTCTCCCAACATGGGCCATGAGCCAGGGAGCACAGACAGGGTGCTGAAAACTTTCATCTAAGCAGTGAGATAAAAGGCTTTGAAGACAGCTGGTGCCTATGGGAGGGGAGGAAGCCAGAAACCACCTTCGATCCAAAATCCCATCCTAAAGTCTCTCTGCCCTGGTCCTGACTACCTTCATCGAGACAAAAGCGTGAGAGTTCTTTTTAACCAAACTATCCGAAAACAGTTCAGTGGTTTGGTTCAGTGCTGATCTTATGGGAAAATTTGATTCAGTTATTGTCCAATTTGGTTTGGGAGCAGATCATGGAGGAATGAGCTTCCTGAGCCGCATGTATATTATATTATTCACACAGGAAGAGGGGGCCGCCCTTCGTTCCAGAGCTTCCTCCTTTAGCAACGCCCGGCTCCTTTGCTGGCCCGTGGGACCAGGGAGGAAAGGCACAGAAAGACAGCTGGCAGCAAGAGTGCAAAGGGGAGAACCAAGGAATTCAGGCCAGAGCCTGTGGGAAGAATCGGAGACCAGACCCAAATGAGTTTAGGAGGAGGTTTCCGTAGGAAAGGGCAGAACACGCTGTGGCCTGCTTTTAAAAAACTCAGTGGTTCTGGCCTCCACCGGCGGAGCATAACCGTGCACCTAGCAGTCGAAGTGAGGACTTCCTGTGTGCCGGGCTCTCTGTTAAAAATAAGGGTGCAGAGAGGAGTGTAGCTTCTGTTACCTGATTTAGCTGTCACAATAATCCCATGGGGAAGGTGTTAGAAACAACAAACTGAGGCTTAGTACAAGAAAATGAGCTTATAAAAGCAAAACCTTGTGTTAGGTTCTGTGAGGGATGTGGAAATGAATGAATTAGTGTCCATAATTGCCGAGCACAGTGGCGGGCAGCTAGTGACAGGGTATAATGCTCACTCCCTTTAAAATCTACAAAGAGCTTCCTCGTACTTTGCCTTATTTGATCGTCACAACTACTTTATGTAGTGCTTATCCCTGCTTTCTACATATAGGGAAGGAAGGTCCATGTTTAAGCTTAAAGTGACACTTCTAGTGACTGCAGGACTGCGACCGAAGGCGGGCTTCCCCGACCCCCATCCCACAGCGTCTCTGTGCCGTGTGGTGGTGAAGCCTCCGTTCACTCACGCCTGCACGCATGTGACGCTGTTTCCACAAGCACACCCTTCTGCAGCAAGGCCACGGCTCAGAGCACCTTAAGGAAGGCACTGAATGCTGAGGGGGACAGGGAGAGGGCGCTCGCCTCCTACTCTGACCTTTGGATTTTGGAGTGGCGCATCCTAATACTCACAAAGCCTCAGCTCTCCACTTTGGTGGTGAGGAATTCAGCCCAGCAGGAGCCCGACTGACAGGAGGTACAGCAGGAGGTGCAGCAGGAGGAGCCGGTGCTGCTGTGCTCGAAGCAGCAGCGCTGCAGTGTAGATGAGCGGAAGCAGCTCTGAGAGCAGCCCCCGCCTTCCGCTCGGGTGGGTGCCTCTGTGCGCACCGGCACAGGGCAGAGGTGAAAGGGGCGCTCGCCCAGTGTTGCTTCTGCTTTCCTCTCCCCCTTCTCTGCTGGCTTCCTCCCCTCTTCCCCTCCTCCCACTCATCAGGGCCCCATCTTTTCATCATAATGACAGGCAGAAAGGTCTCTGAAAGCAGGTCCCCAAGGTGCCACAGGACCAGAGGGCATAAAATATTTAGCGGCCAGTGTTGACAAGAAATGGGTTTTAAGAAATTGAAAATTCTCCTGTCGCTTTAGAGCAAACTGCATTCTTGATGCGGCTGAAGGCTGGTGCAAGTGTGCTCCAGCGACCACTTGGGAATGGGAGCGGCAGCCCAGGCAGCAGCCCCGGAGTGTCTGCAGCCCCCTGTATTGTGTGGATGGACAGACAGACAGGCAGGCAGGCAGGCAGGCAGGAAGACACAAAGATGAGACTAAAGGGCTTCGGGACCCAGAACCTGAGGACTGTTGGCCCTAGAGAACTGAGACTGGTCCTGAGCAAAGGAACAGATAGAAATTGTCTCACCGGGGCTAGGAAGATAGCTCAGCAATCTAAGTGCCTGTTGGCAAGCGCAGGGACCCGGGTTCCATCCCAGGTACTGCATGCCATGCTGGAGACCAAAGCCGGGTGTGGTGGCGCATGCCTGCAATCTCGGTACTGGGGAGGCTGAGACAGAAGGACCACTACAAGTCTGAGCTATGTAGCAAGACCCTGTACTAAATAAAGAAGAAATTACGGTCTCACCCCTATCAATATAACTTGTTGAGCTGCTAATTGCATTGGTAAATGACCTCATGTATACTGTAGAACATTTTTGAGGTTTAAAACCATAAAGAAGAATATTAAAATCACTGATTCTTGCATGGTTAACAGTTTTTAATCATTGCCCAAGTGTTTAATCTCCTTTCCACCCATAATCCACCTTATTGTCATATTCCCTAAATTGGTGTCACCCTGTGCTTACAGATCTGAAACCTGTTCTTTCTCTTTACATTCACAAAGTCTTTTAAGTCTCTGAACAGCTTGTCTTCCTCCTCCACCTCCAGACTCTACTGCGTGCCTTCCCCTCCCACCTGTACAACCGCTGCTGGTCTGAGCACTTACTGTGGGTCGGGGTCCCTGTGTGATTGCATTGCTGTTTTTCAAATGGGAATACCGAGGCTCTGAGAGGTAGAGTAACTTGCCCAAGGGCATAAGTGATGGGGCTAAGATAGAACCCAGGCCTGTCTGGCGCCAGCGTCTTGTCCCCTTGCCTACTGTGTCTTCTTGCTATTGTCCCTTTGTTCAGGTTTTATCAGTCTTCAGAGAACACCAGATGTCTTGGTGGCAGCTATGACACTTCAGTTTTGATGCTAGGCTGTAGGAGAATCAGTCAAGGCTTTATGTGACAGCCACTTGGTCTCCCTGGCGAGTTCTGGTGGGTGTGGGATAGCGTGGGCATCTTGCCAATCACTTGAGCATTGGTGTCTCCATTGTCAGGTTCGCTTGGAGTGGCCCACAGACCTAGCCATCAACCCAATGGACAACTCTCTCTATGTCCTGGACAACAACGTGGTGCTGCAAATCTCTGAGAACCATCAGGTGCGCATTGTCGCAGGAAGGCCCATGCACTGCCAGGTCCCCGGCATCGACCACTTCCTGCTGAGCAAGGTGGCCATCCATGCCACTCTGGAGTCAGCCACTGCCCTGGCTGTCTCCCACAATGGGGTCCTGTATATCGCTGAGACCGATGAGAAGAAAATCAACCGCATCAGGCAGGTCACCACGAGTGGAGAGATCTCGCTGGTTGCCGGGGCCCCCAGTGGCTGTGACTGTAAAAATGATGCCAACTGTGATTGTTTCTCTGGCGATGATGGTTATGCCAAGGATGCAAAGCTGAATACCCCTTCTTCCCTGGCTGTGTGTGCTGATGGGGAGCTCTACGTGGCTGATCTTGGGAACATCCGAATTCGGTTTATCCGGAAGAACAAACCTTTCCTCAACACCCAGAACATGTATGAGCTGTCTTCACCCATCGACCAGGAGCTGTACCTGTTCGACACCAGCGGCAAGCATCTGTACACCCAAAGCCTGCCCACGGGAGACTACCTGTACAATTTCACCTACACTGGGGACGGTGATGTCACACTCATCACAGACAACAACGGCAACATGGTGAACGTCCGCCGAGATTCCACAGGGATGCCCCTCTGGTTGGTGGTGCCCGATGGCCAGATATACTGGGTGACTATGGGCACCAACAGTGCCCTTAGAAGTGTGACCACACAAGGACACGAGCTGGCCATCATGACCTACCATGGCAGTTCTGGCCTTCTGGCAACCAAAAGCAATGAAAATGGATGGACAACATTTTATGAGTGAGTATCAAAATAAGACCATGGGGCAGTTGTATTTGCTTAGATGCAGTGTAGGGTTTTAGATGGATTGAGGGAGTATAAATTCTGGTATTTATTTCATTTTAATTCAGTATTTGGCATGTGAACCACTACCTGTAACATGTTCTGCATGTTCCTATTCCCAATGACGTAGCACAGCAGCGTGAGCTTAGGAATCAGAGGAGCTGGGCTTCCGTCCCAGCTCTGTCTCAGACTTAGCCTCTCTGTAGGCCTCAGTTTCCACATCTGTGAAATAGACTCAGCAGTCACCTGCCCAGAACACCACCGGCAAACGATGTAGATGAAAAGTACTCGATAAAATTCTAGTGCCTTCAGATGGCTGCTCTTCAGACCTGTGGCACTGGGAGAGGGACATCGGTGTGGGGGAACCTTCTACATCATCAAAGCTCACATCTTCGAATTCCAAAACTATATATTTTAGCCATTTTGGATCAACTTCTTATAAAATAAATTAGAAGTCCCTGTGCTTCAGGCACATGTTAAGGACATATCCTGCATAACTTTTCTTTTCCAGTCAGGAACATTAATGGGAACAACACTTGCATATTGTGCTGTCCTTTGGTGACAGCTTCTGGAAGTCAGGGGACAAGGACACAAGGCCCTGGGCCCCTTCCTGTGTAATTCTAAACTATTCTTTTATTAGCTCCCTTACCTACTAGCTATAATTTTGTTGACTTCTCTCCGAGTGGCACTGTGGTGGCGCTGTTCTCAGAGTGCAAACCTCAGGTAGGCACCTCCTCCTTCATCCTGCATAGTGCCGCGTAAGTGGTGTGGTCAGAGAAGCCCAAGCTTAGGTTGTGACAGTCGTCACCAGAAATATATGTATAAGACATTTTAGTGAATGGGCCTTATAGTATCTCTTTTTCTGCTTGGATCTTTTAAAGCTTCATTTTGGAATCCTAGCCCGGCTCTAGGTGAGGAAGACTTCCGAAGATTCGCGTGCAGGAGTGGGGGAAGGAACTGGTCTTGCTGGTGCACTGTCCCGGCAGCAGTTCGGGACACAGGAGATGTTATCTGTTTTACAGAAATAGCAACTGAGGCTGGGAGAGGCTCACTTGCCTGCTGTCGCCCAGAGCACGACAGAGCGAGGGGCCTCTGTCCTCATCTGAGGCCCACGCACTGCTCTGTCAGTTCTGCCCACCATACATCCCACCAAGCTCAAGCCCAAATGGGCCTGGATCTTTTGACCCTTCATTTTTCTCATACTGGATCAAGCATCAGTTTCTCTCAGAGCATAAAGGAAAAGGATCTGTAATTGATTTTCAAATACAGTTTGCACCCATAAATGTCACAGCATTTTGTACAAAGTTCACTAGTTAAATTCCTTTCTCCAAACAAGGGCCTTGTTAATTGCAAGAAAAGACAAAGATCCAGGAAAACAGCAATTATCTTGATTAACTCATTGAAATGGAAATACGCTAAATAATTCAATTTTCCCCTTACCCGATGGGGTGGAAATCTTGCATGCATTACTGAGCCAATACAGGGGCTGCTTTGTCAGAGCAAGCCTGTGCGCTCCATTGGTTCCCAAGGTCGCCTGCTTGTATCCCATGCCGAAAACATCACAACCCTGGCACTGTTGCTCTCCACCACCCCCGAACCTAAAACACTTTCTGCACCTCTCCCAGAAGGGCCCCTCCATCTCCTTCCTGCATAAAATGTGCAGCCATAGTTGATGTTTATGAAGAAAGAACCATTATTATAGTTGCTTTGTATAAAACAGCATTTGAAATTCCAAAGAATCCACTTTATCACAGTGCACAGATCCTTGCTCCCACGAGCCAGGCATGGAAGCTGAAGGTCCCAAAATAGAAGGCGAAACCATCTCAGGGAGGGCAGGGTGCTGCCACACACCAGGCTCTTCTCTCTTCACCTCCATGGCACCTGCAATGTCAAGCCCTCAGCTTGATGCTCAGATAAACTGGCGAGGGTCTCGCGGTGGATCGTTAACTCAGATGGCAGGAATTAGCTGCATTTTCTTAACTTGTGAACACACTAAGACACAGAGCCAGAGGCATAAGCCCATGGTCACCTGGCGGTTGCAGAGCACACCAGCACGTATGTCTGTGTTCCTCTGGCTGCACTGGCTAGATTCACCTTTGTTCTTTCTGACTCGTCTGTATAATAGAGATTAAAACAGTTTCTATTCTGGGAGCATTAGGTTCAAATTTTCCGAGAGATGGAGCATGGAAAGTTCAGTGATTCCTGCTGCCACTGTTATCTGAGGCAACACTGTGGCAGTGCTGGCGATTACAGAAATGGCATTTGGACATGAAAGGTAGCACCCAGCAGCAGTTTGGAAGTGAGCTATCAAAGGGACAAACAAAGGCGTTAACAGGTGGAAAGCAGAGGTCAGGTGCCAAGTGGGAGAGACCGAGGTATGAAGTAGCAGCGAGGCCAGGTCCCTGGAACATCCAGGCTAGGCTGGAGAGGGGGCAAAAGCAGAGCGGCGTGTTTAGATGGAGCAAAGCAAGGGGCCAGGGTCTCCCAGGGCCGCACTGTGGGCTGTTCAGCTGTGGGGGTCAGGGCAGGATGGCTGTCTTCCAGCCCCAAGTCTGAACCAGCCAGAAATAATCGCTGCCCTACCCCATCTCTGGGCCATTCTGATGATCCAAAGACTAAATTAGTAGTGAAACTAAAATGACTTTGTGAACTGTGAGGCTCCTCAGAGACAAGGTGATGACGCTCCTTGTCGTGACGGTATTTCTTAACAAGGATCTGTACAGCTTTTGTCAATGAACAATTTGCTCTAAGTGAGTTTTCTCCCTTTTGCTTCATGATGCAGCTTAGTGGATTCAATCCCAAATGTTCTAATATTTTAAAATCAGCCCAGACTTTCCGGTGGCATAGGCTATTACTAACACAACTTTAAGTTGACTTTATCGATCCTCTTAACAGATTAAATAATACATCTAACATAAACATCACATACTTCAGAGCAACTTGACTTAAAGAGTTCACAGTTGCTTTTCTCCCCTCGGGCCACAGTCTGCTGGTAAAATCCTCCGTGGAGCCGGCGTGCAGGCTGCATCTCTCAGGAGCGGCATCATCGCTTTCAAAGGTGGCTCCTGGCGGCACGGCATTCAGTGGCCAAGAAAATGGCCCAGTAGCAGGAGGCTTGGTCCCACACTGACTGGTCCGTGGGCAGGAGCAAGCAGATTCCCAGAGGTTCCTAGGGTGATGTGGCTCTTGGCTCTGGCCTCCGGTGCCCTGTGATAGCTGTGGCAAGGAGGCGCACATTGCCTACTCTTTCTGTGTTGAGCTTCAGGCTTGCTGCCTCACAGTTCTCAGCAAATACTTTATAAGTGCAGTGTGGCTTGAGAAGAGAAAGATAAGGGATGAAAAGGCATGCTAGTAAGAACACTAGATTTAGGTCCCAGCTCCTGGATTATCATCTGCAGGAAGTAGAATCCGACTCCGATTGGTGAAATGAAAAGATGTGGCCTCCGGTCTCCACATGGGCACTTGAAAGCCATTGTGGGCATCGGTCCAGCTTCACCATGAGAACAAGCCAGGCTGAAGGCAAATTTGTATGTTTTCCTTGAACTCCTGCTGAAGTAACCAGAGTAACCAACTGGCCCAACCCAAAGACCAACACACTTACGGACAGACAGTACGTGAGCTCTCCCTTACCTGGGCAGGCACAACCAGACTCAAGCAAGGCAGCTTAGCTGGCATCTCTATGCAGGCTATGAGTGTCTAGACAAGGGAGCACACAGCCCTCAGAGGCTGCAGACACTGGTGAGTGTTCCTGTCCTCCTCAGACTTGTCTCTACATCGCCAGGAGTGTTTCCACAGAAGACAGTGCGGAAAGATTTAAGCAGATATCCCTGTGGCAGACCCCGGGTGGGAATGCAGCAGGCACTGAGAGCAAAACACAGATACCTGCCTGTACCACCAGGAGCCTGCCACCCAGTCTCCCCATGGAGCCGAGGCTCCCATCCACAAAGAAAAGAGTACCACAGCGTGAGCCCACTCAGCAGAATGAGCAAAGAAGGGGGAAGTGACTCCTGCTGGAGAGGAGCGGGAGTATGTAGTGAGCCCAGAAGCACCTGAGAAGGGACGCCTGCACTGGAGAGCGCAGCATGGGCACTCAGGGACACAAGTCCCTAAGGCTGGGGGCAGGTACAGTAGTAACAGGACCACAGAAAACTCTCCCTCCCCTCTCCCAGCCAGCCGAAGAGCAAAGTGGCACAGGGGCAGAATCCCATGGGACAAGGATGAAAATGGGCACCAGAGCATGGCAGGAGACCTCTCTGAGACACAGCAGGAGGACCTGCTGAGAAAATGGGCACCAGAGCATGGCAGGAGACCTCTCTGAGACACAGCAGGAGGACCACGGCAAGATAGCTCAGCAGTCTAAAGCACCTGCTTAGGCAAGCTTAGGCAAGCTTATGCAAGCACAAAGACCGTGGTTTGATCCCTGGCACCATGTGCTGCACCAGCCCTGCCCCCAACAACAACAACAACAAAAAAAAAAATGAGGACCTAAACTGAGGATAGAGTAGACACTGAGCCCACAGGGGAAATCCTCTGTCAAAGCAGGTCTTATCCTGAGCACACTGCTGGAGGGGCTATTAGCCTTCAAGCCACAGAGGGTAACCATAGAAACAGCTGACTTCCCAGTTAACCCAAATCCTAAGTAAATTAATACAAAACCCCTCACTAATGTCCTAGCAGAAGGAAACTCAACCATCAGGCACAGAGATGCACACCCGTCATACTAGCTGCTAAAGAGAGGCCAAGGCAGGAGAATCTCAAGGGCAAGGCCAGCCTGGGCAATTTACCAAGACCTTGTCTCAAAATAAAAAAATGAAAAAGTTTGGGGATATAGCCTAGAGGTAGAGCACCTCTGCTTCAATCTCCAGTACTGCAAAGATAAAAGGAAAAGGAAACCCATAGCCATTTCCAGCATCAGCCATCGCCTCAGCATCCCCTGTGCAACACAAGATGTCACGGTTTCAGCGGAACACACAAAAAGCAAGAAAAAGCAGAAGGGGAATCATCAGAACCACATTCAGATGTGACACAGGCATTGGAGCTATCTTTCAGAGAATCTAACTATAATTATATTAAAAGCTCTAATGGAAAAGGTGAACAGTATGCAAGATCAGATGGATAATTTCAGCAGAGGAATGTAAGAAAGGATCCAATGAAAATGTTCAGAGTGCTAAACAGTCATAAAGATGAAAAATGCTTTGGACGGGCTCATTGCTCCCGGTGACGTGGTATAGCACAGCCGGAAGGAAGACAGATCATTGGAGCTACCGAAATGGAAACACAGAAGAAATACAGACCAGCACGTTCAAGAGCCATGAATCCTGAGGTCTAACCTGCACATAACTGGAATTCCAGGAGAAGACAGAAGAAACAGGCAGAAGAAATATTTGAGGAAATAGCGGCTATGAGTTGTTCATGGACCTATATCCCCAAACACTCAAAAAGCACCAGGCAGAAAGTGCACAAACACACATATCCTATTGAAACCACTAAATACAAAACAAAGAAAGAAAATCTTGAAAACAGCCAGGAAAAGAGGAGGAAGCCTTTCTATAAGAGGAACAAACATAAGCATTATGGCTGACTTCTTATAGGAAACCATGCAAGCTAGAGGAGAGAAAGTACTGAAGGAAAAACCACTGTCCCCTCAAATGCAAGGTCCAACAAAAATACCTTTCAAGTAAAAGCATGTTCTAGAGATAAGAGAAAGGAGTGAGGACCCAGAAGGTACCAACCGCAGAAGAGCCATACCGACCCAGGCTGCTCAGTCAGACAGCAGTCGGCTGCCCCCGCTCGCAGCTGCAAGGAGCAGGCATTCGGCAGAAGCTGCAACTGCTCTGAGATGTAGGGCAGCACTGAGGATAGGCAGGGAAAGCCCGCCCCGACCCCAGCCTTGGCCAGTGTGCACCCCCTACATGACTTAATCTAAGGGGAAGAGGGCCAGCACAGGTGCCCAGGGACACAGGCGGTAGGGGGTGACCTCTCTAGTATGGAGAAGGGCAGAGAATGGATGGGGTGGAGCAGAGTGACCAGCACAGAGACCCGCTGTTAGAGAAGTGGCAGGGCCAGGACTCAGTTCGAAGCCTGCCCGAATCCTGCGCGTGTCCCACCAGAGGCACCGCCACAGTACAACATCAGTGAGAGAAAGCTCTGCAGTGGGAGGGAGGACCAGGTCTTGGCAGTCCTAAAGGTTCACGGCAAGAACTTAATTCTACAGGAAGTGGGTATGGAGGACCAATTTTTACTGAAGAAGTAAAAACGTGCCCTGGCTCTGACACGATTTTCAAGTAGCCAGTGATACAATAGTGCCATCCACACCTATGCTCCAGGCTGGGGACTGTCGCACACACAGTGAGTTCATGACGCCCAGGTGATAACAGCCATTCCCCTCATTGGTGCTGGTGTCATTTCAGACAATCAGAGCTGAGAGTCAGAAATCAAATCTTTACTTTCCAACCCCAGTGTGAAGATCAGCAAAAGTTTGGTATCACAGAAGCAATTTGGCATTTTCCTCCCTAGCTGCGCATAGCAAGTGGCTTGGGATGGAGCGCCAGGCGAACAGGAGAAAGCCCTGCAGTGTGTGTGAAGATACCCGTTAGCAGACCTCTTCTGAGAGCCGGGTTCACAGCAACTACATGAATCTTTTATGTGTTTTCTTCCACTGTGCTCCAAAGATGCTTTGGAAAAATAGAGCAGGAAAAGCCAGTTGAAGGAATTAGCAGAGAGCCCGTCGTCTGACCAGCACTGGCCTCCCCCCGCTGCCCACAGTGAGGCTTGGCACTGCTACAGAGTCAGCTGCAGCAGCCAAACAAAGCGTCCGGAAGGGACAGCCGTCGGTCTTCTTGGCCCACTGGAGGCTTCCAAACAAAACTGTCTCGTATTCCACATGGCGATGAGCACGAAGGCTTTGATTTGAAACATTATCACTTTTAGGGAAAGTGTAAAAAGAAAGCACACATTCGCTAAGGCCAGGCAGACCTGACTTTGAATCCGTGTGCTTTCCTAACTGTCATTTTAAGCAAGTTCGCATCTTCTGTGAGCCTCAGTAGCACCACTGCAAACTCACAATAACAATAATCCCAACCTCCAGAAAAGTGGTGGTGTGCATGATGCTGGTACCTGAAGTCACTCTGTGAATAGCAGCTGTCCCTTCCAGGGAGGGTTGGGGCAGCACAGCAAATGAAACAGATGGAGGTAATTACCCCCAGTGATGTCCTGAAAATCAGCACAAGGGCAGGGGCCTAACTCAGTGGTAGAGCCCTTATCTAACACGCCTGAGGCCCTGGATTCAGCCCTCAGTGTGACCAAAAAAAGCCCCTACTATTTCCTTATGTATCTGTTAGTGCATTGTTGAGTGGGCATTGTTGAGTACCTTCTATCTGCTGGGTGCTCCTGCAGGCTCTGAGGATGCAGACAGGGTCACCGGCCTCACTGAGCTTATACAACAGCAGGACGAGACAGACCGCAGTAGGCAAAGAAATGGGGTAGTGGGTAGAATGAAGACAACTCAGCGAGGTACGCCACAGAGGGCAGGACCTGTGCCAGAAACACTAATCAGGGCAGCCCTCGGCAATGCAGCAGCCATGGAACTGAGACATGAGGGGTGAAAGGCAGCAGCCGCATTGGCATCGTGGGGAAAGGCGTCCCTGCAAGGGAACAGGGAGTGTGAGCACTCCCCAGCCTGGACCAGGTGAGGATTGTCAGGGAACAGAAACCCAGAACCTCAGAGGACGTCACTGAGAGGCAGGAAGGAGTGAACCAGCATTCATGCACACTTAGCATCTCATGTGCACCCAGCATTCTAAGTTCTGGGGACACAGCAGTCACCAACTGAAGTCCTTTCCTCAAGGACCTGACATTCAGGGAGGACACTCTCCTGGGGCCCTGAAGGCCACAGGAAGAGTTTACATTCATTTAAATAGGCTGCCTCTTTTGATCTTTGTGTGTGTGTGTGTGTGTGTCTATGAGGTGCATGGAGGAGGAGGAAACAGGCTCACCGAGGCTGTGCTGTGTAGCCTGCTGGCACACCACCCTTCGTGGTGAGGGGCTTGCAGGTCAGAACAGCAGAGACCTGAGAAGCTACCCTCCAGGGTCCCATTGCTGGCCGCATCCAGCTGGCCTCACAGCCTAGGCTATCTCACTCCAAAGACCTTCCCATGCAAAATGTCCCTCCCACTGCTTATGGTTAGGAAGGAAGAAACTCTCCAGGATCTTGGGGTTCCTGTAACTAAAGCCATGACAGACATAACTAGGCTATTGTCTGTCACCCAGTCACAGGGCTGGGCTTGAGGTCACTGGAATCCAGGGAGCCCAGAGAACAGCCCTTGCCAGACCCTGCACCCTGGGGGAGAGCTCTTGGCTGCTCTGCAGGGCAGAAAGGGTTCGGAGGGGGTGGCCCGGGCAGAGCAAGCAGGGACGGGCAGCTCTAGTTCTTCCCCCACAGTCAGCCGGGGGAACTCTGCTGACGGGATAATCACAAGTATTGATCTAGCAGCAGGGAGATCCAGCGGCATTTCTCAAGCTCTGGAAGGCAGGGAAATGAATGAATAGGAGACAAAATTTTATAAATTGGCTGTTCTATTTGATGTTCATTTAATTAAGACATTCGGTCCTTCTAATGGAAAATGTGAGGAGTGAAAATTACTGGGTTTGGGCCGTCTTGTAGAAAATGAAAACCAGATCACGAAGGCATGAGGCCTTTAGGTTGTATCTTCCTCAGGCTCAATTTAATTATACAGTCCAGGCTACCGTCAATAATAATTACCGCTGTCTGCCTCGGTGCAGAGCCTCATTCTGCCTTGGAGCTGAAAGCTCTGGGGAGATGGTTAAAGTGCACACAAGGGAACAGCTCTTGCCACACTTGTGGTGTCCTAGGTGCTCGTAGGTGTCGCTGTGCGTGCGGCTCTGAGTCCCGTGGAGGTGACGTACAAGTCAGCACAATCTGTCCTCTCCCAAGAGGCAGGAAGGAGGCCTTGCGTGTTCGGCCCTGTGTTCCCTTAGCAGCATGCCCTGTCTGGCTTCTCTGTGCAGTTCCACTGGGGCTACAGCCAAGAGGAACTCGGGGCCAGATGCCCTGGTCTGCTGTACTGGCACGAATCAGGCTTAGCCTATTTGGGGAATGACACAGATGCAGAGAAGTACACAAGATCAGAGCACAAGGGGAAGTCCTCAGGAGAGGCGAGGAGGACTCAGATGTCAGCCAGCATTCATTCCCAGAGGTCCAGTGTGTGCCCAACATCCTGAGTTCTGGGGACACAGCAGTAGCCAATTGAAGTCCTTTCCTCGGGGAGCTGACATTTGGGGAGAACAGTCTCCTGGAGCCCTGAAGGCCTCAGTAACAAGTCTGCATGCATTTAGATAGCCTCCCTCTTTTGGTCTTCACCATGTCTCTAAGTGGAGGTGGGATATGACTCCAGATTCTCAGCCTTAAAGTCTGACTCCAAAACATTGTCCTGACCTAGAACACTCAGCCCCAATACAGAGGAACTTTCTGGAATAAAGCAGATGCTCCTCACACTGATCCTGGGTTGGGGCAGGGCCGGAGTATCCTTCCCACTTTGTGGATTAGAAGAGAAATTCAGAGTCCCGTAGAGGACTTTCCAGCAGAGATCAACAGGTGGTGCCAGATCCTGGACACCGTGTGCTGGGCGAGGAACATGGGTGGCAGGGGTGAGGTCTGAAAGGAAAGCAGAACATGCAGAACCTGGCAGGAGGTAGAAATGCCGTCTTCCTGCTGCAGCACTGTCATATTTCTGTTCATCGGTGCTGCCCTTTGGTTTCTAGGTATGACAGTTTTGGTCGCCTGACAAACGTCACCTTCCCTACTGGCCAAGTGAGCAGTTTCCGAAGTGACACAGACAGCTCAGTTCATGTCCAGGTAGAGACGTCCAGCAAGGATGATGTCACCATAACCACCAACCTCTCGGCCTCCGGTGCCTTCTATACTCTACTGCAAGGTAAGCCAGACGTGGCCTGGGGACTGAGATGTGAGGCTGGGAAGACCGCTTTGGAACAGGATGACACTAAAAACAGCTACAGGAGCTGCCCACAAACAAGAAAGAATTATGACTGGTTTCTCTCTGTATTGCCACCTAATTTGCAATCACATGAGCCAGAGTCCAGTAAACTCTCTCCCAGAAGCTTCAGAGCAATATGTCATTGTCCCATCCCATTATCATCAGAACAAAGAGGAAAGAATCCATTAGCTACTAATCCAGGTGACCTCGTTATTCTGCCATTCTAATGGCTCCCAGATTAAAAGACTTAACACTCACACGGGCACAAGCAAAAACAAAGGACAAGAATAATTACACCTAATTATGGAAGGGATTTGGCCATGGAGAAGTCCTTCCCGAGCAGCAGACGAGGTTTATGCCTCTGCTAAGGCTCCATAGAAGAGAGCCTCCCTACACCCACTGGCTCTTCCCTGTTGTGCATTGATCGCTTGGCTTCAGGTAAATCACTAGCAGAGCCCTGCTGGGGGCTGTCGGCCTCAACTGTTCTCGTGAGATACGCTGACCCAGGGTTTTGTTGGATTTAGTAAGCATGAGAAAGAAGAAGAAGAGGCTATCACTAAGGAAAGCCCTGCCTAACATTTTCCCAAAAGCTTTAACACAACAGAGTACAAAGGAGCTTAGGACTGAGAGGCATAGGCCTAATTTCCAGTTCTGACTGCTACCTCTTCGCCCACTGTGGCCCTCAATTTTATTCTCCAGGAAAAATGAAAAGCAAGTTGAAATAGGGCCAGCCAAATAGCTCAGCAGATTAAAGCACCTACAAACAGGCACAGGAACCGGGGGTTCGATCCCCAGTCTGCCGTGCCGGCCCCGCCCCCGAAGCACACTGAGACAGCAAATGAGGCTGGGCGTGGTGGCGCTCGCCTGTAATCCCAGCTCTTGGGAGGCTATAAACAGGCGGATCACTACGAGTCCAGTCTAGTAGTGAGACCCTGAACACCCTGTAGACCATTCCCTAAAATACAAAAAAGAAATTTTAAAAATTAAAAAAGAAAGAAAAAGAAGCGAGTAGAAGCTGTGGTAAGTGGGCTGCGGCAGTGCAGAGAGAGCAGGGGTTCTGAGTGGACCGGGGGCTCTGTGCCTTCCGTGCTGGATCCCACCAGAGTGAACTGGGGGTCACTTTTTTCTGAGCTCAGTTTCTGTGTCTGGCAAGTGATGCTGCATTGTACTACCTGCCTCAGCATTGCCCAGGTGATCTCTTTCTACAGCACTGGAAAGTGCTCAGCATGAGCCAGGCACAGAGTACTGCTCAGGAAATACTTGTTAATTAACTGAGTAAGTATTTCATTAGAAAGCAGTTTGACTTACCATATGAAAATAAATGTCTGTATATATACATGTGCTTCTTATTCCCCAAGGTGGTCCTTTGCCGTTTAGGGAGCTCTAGGCCAACAGTGTTTCTCAAAGAGAAAATAAACTCTGGAATTTCCTCCCCCACCAAGCATCTTTAATGGTGGGTTGGAACATCTCTCTGCCTATCAGGAATTTAGTCCCCAACAGGATTTATTGTGGAGAAAAGGTAGCAGCTTCCAGCCAGCCTGGCTTCTGCCTGGTGGACAGCAAAACTGGTAATTGCTTAGACATGCGTTCTGTGCTTCGAGCCTGTTTTCATCTCTGTAGTTAAGAACTGTTCCATCTGTCCACTCCAAGATGCTAAATTCAAAAATGCCACACTTCCCCAATTTTTTTCTTCTTCTTCTTTTTTTTTTTTTTTTTTGCAGAACCGTGGACTGAACTCAGGCCCTTATGCTTGCCAGGGAAGCTCTTATTCTACTGAGCCAGCTCCCTGGCCTTCTTCTGTATTTAGGACAGAGTCTACAGGGTCTATAGGATCTCACTGCATAGATTGGACTTGTAGTGATTCTCCTGTTTTCAGCCTCCCAAGCACTGGGATTATAGGCATGCGCCACCATACCCAGTCTCAATCGACACCTCAGCGTACCCCACGGGGCTGGCACATCATGCCAGGGATTGAACTCTGGCCACTGCACTCTGCCTAAGCAGGTGCTTTAGTCCATGGAGCTATCAGGCTGGCCCCCAATTTTAAAATATACCATCAATTTAATAACTTTATACATCAAAAAGCTAGATACTGCTCAAAATGCATTCCTGGGATAGAAGACACATTCCAATTTTAGAAGCATGGATGTGTGAAAAGGAAAAAGTATACCTGGAACCCAGGAAGCACAGCGCCTGTCTCCCCATGAGCACCTCTGCACACCCCTCTCCTCACTCCCTGTGAGATTCCAGTGCCCAGCTTTGCATTCGCCTCAGTACTGTTTGTGCAAAGCTCTTTCAGGGTCAGCTCATATCTGAAAAGAAGAAGTCATAAGAAGTAGCTGCTAATGAGTAGGCGCTCTGGAGAGCCACAGCCAGTGTGGATGGGGCGCATGGGAGGCTGTCTCCACAGACGCCAGCCCGTCCACTGACCGTAGCGGATGTGTGTGGGTTCCACAAGGAGCAGTGTTAAATGATAGACGGACACAGGCATTTTCACTCTTCAAAGCAAGTAAAATGCGTATTGTCAGTGAATAATGCAAGGAAGCTTTGAGGCAGACATTAGAATTCATGTAGGTGAAAGAGAAGTGTGGCAATGTGGAGGCAGGGTTGGGGGGCAATTTGATGCCATCCGAGCAGGGAAGACTGGGAGATGGGTACCCCTGAAAACCACATCCTTATGGCTTGACTTAGCTCAGGACATACCTAGTTTAACTCAGCAAATATTTACTAAGTCATAGAAACAGAACAATAATAATAGTCAATTGGAGTGCTTGCTAACCTCCAACTGTATTCTTAGCATTTGACATTTTAGCCCTATTTAATCTTTACAACAGGCCTAGTAGGTCAGTATTACTAATGCCTCCATTTTCTAAGTGAAGGCAGCAAGCAAGCACTTAAACAGATTTCCCCATGGCAGACGCCTAAAAGGCTCTGTGGATCCGTGTAGCCTGGCTCCAGAACCCATCCTCCAGACCACCAATGAGACACTGAAGTAATGAGACACTATGGAAGAGCTGTGCACAGGACTAGAATTCTCTGTGGCGGGTGCATGAAGTGGATGGTAGAAACACAGCCGAGATAAGGAGGACACATGACAGAGCCTAGCAGTGTCACATGTCAAGCTAATAATCACGGACATTTCTAGAACACCATCGACCAGTACTGTTCTCAGTAGTACCTGTTCATCTCATGCTGTCCTCAGAGCACCAGGCAAGGGCACAGCTATCATCCCCAGTGTACAGCGAAGCCACACAGGCGTGCCAGGCCCCAGAGGAAAGTGAGGTCACATGGCAACACAGTGGCAAAGCTGCACCCCATCTCTGGGAGATGGGGCCTCTCCCTGGAAGTGCTCAGACACTGGAGAATGTGCCAGCTCTGCGCCCCTCAGCTGACGACCACGGATGGGGCCCACAGGGAGCCCGGAGAGTCTGCGGGTAGGAGAGGTAGGAGCGGCCAGAGGAGAAATGACGCTGAGCAGAGCCCAATGGGAGGACAATGGCTGACATCCACTGAGGACAGAAGAGACCACCAGAAGGGCAGATGGAGGCTGAGTGGCCGGAGACACTGGCTCCATTACAGAGTTGGCATGCATTGTTCAGCTGAAAATTACTTTTCCTCCAGAAATTTCTTTTAAAGATCCAAATTAAAATGCTTTAATCAGATTTAAATTTTTTAATCAGATGTGTTTTTTAAAACCATGATCATATGTCTATGTATGCATGTATCTGTATATACTATATTTGTATATATGCTATTTTTACCTTCTTATAAAGAACACCATTGGGGGCCGGCCAGATAGCTCAGCAGACTAAAGTGCCTGCTTAGGCAAGGTGCAGCAGCCAGGCTTTGATCGCCAGCATGCTGTGCCAGCCCCACCTCCAGGGTGTGCTGAGGCTGCGACTGAGACTGGGCATCGTGGCATGTGTCTGTAATCTGAACACTCGGGAGGCTGAAAACAGAAGAATCACTACGAGTCCAATCTGTGTAGTGAGACCCTGTAGACCCTGTAGACCCTATAGACCCTGCAGACCCTGTAGACCCTACAGACCCTGTAGACCCTACAGACCCTGTAGACCCTACAGACCCTACAGACCCTGTAGACCCTACAGACCCTGTAGACCCTGTAGACCCTACAGACCCTGTAGACCCTATAGACCCTGCAGACCCTATAGACCCTGTAGACCCTATAGACCCTGTAGACCCTACAGACCCTGTAGACCCTATAGACCCTACAGACCCTGTAGACCCTATAGACCCTGTAGACCCTATAGACCCTACAGACCCTATGCTAAATACAAGTTTAAAAAAAAGAACACCATTAATATGACGAGAGCCTTAAAATGTCCAACTTTTGCTCTAGCAATCCTACTTGATTAGAGTCTTCTCTAATTAAACTGAAAGGAAGACGTTAATTTTTATAAAGCAAATTTCAATGAAATTCACTTTTGTTATTTATCCTTTTAAAGTATACAATTCAGTAGTTTTTATTGTATTTACAAAGGTGGGCAACCACCACTGTTATCTAATTGTAGAACATTTTATCAAATGGAAAAGAAACCCCATACCCAGTAGCAGTCACCCCTCCTCACCCCCTGCTCTTCAGCTCCCGGAAACTACTCATCAGTCTATTCTGTGTGGATTTACTCGTGCTGGACATTTTATATAAATGAACTCATACAGTGTGCAGCCTTTTGTGTATAACTTCTTACACTTATTATAATATTTAAAATATCTTTCTTCGCAGTATCATAATGGTGAAAACCTAGAAACAAATTAAATATCTGAGATATAGATAGATATAGATATAGATATATAATTTCCATATAATGAAGTACTACAGTCATTAGGAAAATGTTTATGAAAAATGCTCATAATATAGTGATCAGTAAAAACCTTCAGGAGAAGCTATTTGAAACTGTAAGTGCATTAGGAGATATCCTAAAATCTACAACTATACAAAAAATTTGTAACAGCTTTAAGTATTGAGGTTGTGGGCTATGCTGTCCCCACTTTCTCTAGTGATAACATAATAAGGAGAGATCATTTAGACCCACCCCTTACTCCAGCCTGTGCTTGCCTTGCCCTCAGACCAGGTCCGGAACAGCTACTATATCGGCGCCGATGGCTCCTTGAGGCTACTGTTGGCCAACGGCATGGAGGTGGCACTGCAGACCGAGCCGCACCTGTTGGCTGGCACAGTCAACCCCACCGTGGGCAAGAGGAATGTCACACTGCCCATCGACAATGGCCTCAACCTGGTGGAGTGGCGGCAGCGAAAGGAGCAGGCCCGTGGCCAGGTCACTGTCTTTGGGCGCCGGCTGAGGGTAAGGAAGAACTTGAGGGCCATGGGGTGGCATCCTGGGGTATCTGGAGGATGGGGCTCTGTTCTTGCAGCTGCCTGGCACCAGTTTCCTTACCTGCAAGAGGAGGCCCTAAAGCGGGGTGCCACAGGGAAGAGGATATTATTTGTTTCCAGTTTTGACCTGTGAAGAGGCCACTGGCATGACCAATCAGTCTGGGGTGAATTTCTAGCAGATGTTATTCCGTGAGTGCATTTGGGTGAGTCATTTTAGGGTCTCAAATTCATTCCCCATAAAATGGGAAAATCAAAACCAATTTTACAAGCTCCTGCAAAGACTAGAAGTAACATAAAGTGTCTCACACAGATTCTCGCATATACCAAGTGGTCAATAACACTTACTCTTGGTGTCACTGTTACTATTGTTGTTACTCTTGCTCATAGGTCCCCAAATTCATTTTAGCTATTTGGAACCTAAGCCACACTCTGTATGCTTTCCAGATAGAGTGACCCCTGCTACACGATCAAGGTGACTGCCCCATAGCCGTCACTGCCAGGGCTGGCTAATGGTATGGCATTCCAAAGACTTTCTAAGATGAGGGCACCCTGAGGCAGGCTTTCTCTGCCTGCCTCCCACACGCCTGTGGAGTGTGGCCTCAGCCCAGAGCCTTAGCACCAGCTTTTCCCGCCAGCCCCAGCAAGGAGGGGACAGGCGGAGTGAACCAGGTCTGACTTTCTGCCCAGCACCCTGTAGCCCATGGGCCATTTGCTGGGCCAAAGCAAACCGTAGAAGTGAGCTAGATGCTTCCTGCATTCTGACAGTGGCAGAAGCACTCTCTTCATAGCACAGCTTGGCTGGTCTGTATTCCTGTGCTTCACTGTGAAAAGTTCTTACATACTCCTGTTTACACCTGGGACAACCAGGGTCTAGAGAAGGTAAGCAATTTTCCAAGTCATCTAACTAGGTAGGGTAAAGGCTAGGAGACAGGCCCATAACCAATTCAGAAATGTTTGGTGGTTTACCCAGTAGCAAAACCTAGAACCCAAAAAATCAGGCTTCATTTGTTCCCTCAAGACCTGAGAACTCAGCCCGGAGTGCCGCAACCCTAATGTGGGAAGCAGCTTCCCAGTAGTTCCCAGAGGAAGCGAGAGCTCTCTTTGTTCTCCATGGCCTGCCACCATCTGTGGCCGCCCTGGGACTTGATCTGAATTCTCAAAGACCCCTTCCTGCACATCTGAAGCAGCCACTAAGCAGGAGGCTTGACCTAGGCTGGATTCCTGCTGGCCACGTGTGAAGCCTGCAGCGACTGCCCTGATTCCTCTGTAGAACAGGATAATCTACTCCAACCACCTAGCCTTGCCTTGGACCCCAGGTGCTCAATAAAGGGCAGCAATTAGCACCAGTAGGATTTTCTCTTTGCCGTGTGAACTGGACCAAAAGTTCCCCGGGCTTTAATTGGTCCCTCTCCCAGTCTGAGATTGATGATGTTGAAGTCGGGTGGCCACATCTTGCTTCCTCCTAAAATAAATGGCCACCCACAGTGGCAGATGTGGAATTAGAATTTAGCCGGGTGTGCCTCCCCATAACAGAGCTCATTTTTTTATACGACTGGGAACTTTTTTAATAAAGAAAGATGTAAAATAATCTCATTGCTGCCACTGCAGAGCACAAGACACATTAGGTGGCTCCCCTGTGAACTGCTTAATTCAATTTTATTAATTTTGGCACAAAGGGGCAGCTCACCTAACTAAGATCCTCCCAGGGGTGTGGGGGCTGCTGTTCCCTGCCCCAGGGGGAGCCACAGGATGACCTTCCAAAAGGTGCTTGAGAAAGACCCCTGGCACTGTTGCTAGTACAGCCCATGCCTGCCTTTGCCTCCTCCCCAGGGCACAGAGCTGCTGCCTGTGACACCTCGGAGTTTACACACTGCCACCGTGTTGCTTCTGCAGTTGTGCTTGATTACCCCACGGAAAGCAGCCTTAATATGAGTGGGCCATTCACAGCTAGAGTCCTCATCGGGCATTGTCATTATAAATCCGCATTTTCAAGGCCTTAGTGTTTGGGGGGCGGGAGATGCAAATTTGCCCTTCAAGACTGACCAAGATCACTTGCTGCCCTTTAAGGGAGGTCACTGCAGCCCTTCATTATCCAGGACCTTCCGTGGGCCAAGCACTCTTCAGTCTTTCCAATCCCCACAACAGTGCTGTGGTCATACAGGGGAAGGAAGGAAGACTCAGAGAAGGGAAGACGCGCCCCCGGGCCAGGCAGAAGAGCTGTGCCAGCTCGGCCGTGTTCTGGCCTTCATTCCTAGACCTCCTTTCCCCCGCCTTCTTATTTTTTTAACTGCAGAAAGCCCCAGAGAGCCTTTCATTACCTCAGGATACACATGCCATTTCACATCATGTGACCTAATTACCTGCTTTTCTCTTGGCTTTTCCACTTGTCAGACTTCACCAGTGAGGAGTGGAAAAGACAGACAGTGCACCCAAGAGCCCCAGAAGGCGAGCGCTATTAAGGGAGCCAGCGTGTCAGCATCGGAGCACCTGGCAGTGTCGCAGGGCAGCCAGTGCCCAAGGCCCAGATGCAGATACAGATGCAGGCCTCAATGTATATTTCTTTATTAAAATAGGAAATTTCCAACTTACTGCTACCTTCTGTGGGAGCCTGCATTTCGGTCTCTGAATGGAAACTCAATTGTGTGCTGCCCCAGAAGCCCAGGTACAGACTGTGCCAGGCACTTCTGGCCCTGCAGGCAGGAACCAGGGTTCCAGAGCAGGCACTGTCCCCAGCTGGCCCAAAGCTCCCTGCTCCCGGGGCCTCCAGGATAAGGACAGAGGAAGCAATCCTTGGGGCTGACTGAGGTGATGGAGAAGCAGGGCAGGCGAGCCCCCAGGAAGGCCAGGACTCCCTACAGAGCCAGCAAGAGTCTGCTGGCAGGTTGCCAGGGGCAAAGCCAAGCCCAGGCTCAGCTCTTCACCAGTCACAGGATCAGCAACAAATGCCATGGCATCCGCAAACCTCACTCTCTCCAGAGTCACCCACAGCACCGTGGCTGGCACCAAATGCAGGTTCCAGGGATTTTTATTTGATGGCTGTGTTTTTATAAAGTAGCCAGGAGGGCTGTGCCTTTTGTCATATTCCGTACTAAAAAATTGCATAGAAAATTGTGTGGATCCCCCTCGGCTGCAACTGCTATCTGCCCAGCATCAGCATTGCCTCCATCTCCCAGCAGCCCCATGTGGCTGGCCTTGCTATTTCATGTGACAGATGGAGGCTATCATGGAGCTGACAGGAGACAGAGCCAGAAGCCAAACCCATGCATGTGGACGCTCACGACTTGTGCTTGCTCCTTCTCCTCTGGAGCAGCCTGGCACACTGACAGTCACACTGGTCATCAGAGCGAGCCTCCACTGCCAGCCAGTTCTCTCAGATTAACTCTCTGCTCTCTGTCTTCCTGCCCCAGGTTCACAACCGAAACCTCCTGTCTCTGGACTTTGACCGTGTAACTCGCACAGAGAAGATCTATGATGACCATCGTAAGTTCACCCTCCGGATCCTCTATGACCAGGCAGGAAGGCCCAGCCTCTGGTCACCCAGTAGTAGGCTGAATGGTGTCAATGTTACGTACTCCCCTGGGGGCCACATCGCCGGCATCCAGAGGGGCATCATGTCTGAGAGAATGGAATATGACCAGGCTGGGCGCATCACATCCAGGATCTTTGCTGATGGGAAGACGTGGACCTACACATACTTAGAGAAGGCAAGTGTCTCTCTCCCTCTGTTCCTGGCCTTGCCACATAAAATGCCAGTCGTTGTCCCCCAACCCATGCCGGCCTATGTGGCTGACTTCCAAGGAACACATCTAACCCAAGTGGCCTTCAAATGAAGATACTCATTTTAAAAAAAAAATGTTTGGAAAAATCTGCCACAAAGGGTGAGGATGTCCCAAGGAGTCATCTGGGTGAATCGTAGTGATAGTGTGGTAGATCAGAGGCCTAAAGCAGGAAAACAGGAAAGTTCTGACTGATCCAGTAGAGCTCAGACCAGCCCCAGAACTTCCTGGACCTGCAGAACAGAGCAAGGTCTGCTCCCAGGTCCGGCCTCATGTTGCAGTCCCTCACAGAGAACTTAGTGGAGGCCTGGGGACAGGATTACGCAGGCAGTGCTTGGTCCTGAGCTCCTAGTGTTAGGCATGGCCTAGGTAAATCCCTTCTGCTTCAGAATTCCCTTCATCCCAGGGACTAGGAACCAGAGGTGACATAAAATCAAAAATTGGCCCCAAATAGAAGAAAATAGTAGTTTTGATGCCTAGATGTGAGTAGGCTTGTTACTTGCTTCCTTTTCCTGAGGAAAAGTCTAAAATTCCTCCCCAGTTCTCACATCCAGACCCCACTTTGTTTCCAACTCCCAGTCGCCTTTCCAGGGCCCAGGCTCTACTTGCTGTGGAGATCATTTCCTGACTAGGGTGGTGGGTGAGTCTGAGGGAGGGCTTAGAGGGAGAGAGAGCTTGGAGGACATCTGACATCCTGAAAACCCAGGCCAGCGAGGGCAAGAGCTACCCTGGTGCTACACATAAATGTGTTGTCAGAAGCCAGGTTGTCTCTTCCCATCCCAGCACATCCCCTCTTTGCGTCACCCTCAGGGACACATGGCTTGATTAGAAAGACTGACGTGGCTGTTGCACGTACCTCAGGCCCGGGCTTCCCAGCCTTCATCATACCCCATCATGCTGGGAAGAGAGTAGCCCAGGACCACAGAAATGCACGCACAACTGCTCATGGATGGAGGCAGATGGCCCTGCTAACACCAAGGGCGGGAAGGAAGCCCTCCCACACACATCTGTGCCCTTTGCAGGCGCCTGTGGCTCATTGGCTGGGAAGCTGTGGCTGGGCCTAATGTAGGAGAATCTCCACATTCCTAGGACGTCCATCTCTTTAAGTCTCTGCTCGTCATCTCTTGGTTTTCCTCCCTGCAGTCCATGGTGCTGCTTCTCCACAGCCAGAGGCAGTACATCTTCGAGTTTGACAAGAACGACCGCCTCTCATCCGTGACGATGCCCAACGTGGCCCGGCAGACCCTGGAGACCATCCGCTCTGTGGGCTACTACAGGAACATTTACCAGCCCCCTGAGGGCAACGCTTCGGTCATCCAGGACTTCAGTGAGGACGGCCACCTGCTCCACACCTTCTACCTGGGCACTGGCCGCAGGGTGATTTACAAGTACGGCAAGCTGTCGAAGCTGGCAGAGATGCTGTACGACACCACCAAGGTGAGCTTCACCTACGATGAGACAGCAGGCATGCTGAAGACTGTCAACCTGCAGAACGAAGGCTTCACCTGCACTATCCGCTACCGCCAGATCGGGCCCCTCATTGACCGGCAGATCTTCCGCTTCACCGAGGAAGGCATGGTCAATGCCCGTTTTGATTATAACTACGACAACAGTTTCCGGGTGACCAGCATGCAGGCCGTGATCAATGAGACCCCACTCCCTATTGATCTCTATCGCTATGATGACGTATCTGGCAAGACTGAGCAGTTTGGGAAATTTGGCGTCATCTACTATGACATTAACCAGATCATTACCACGGCAGTCATGACCCACACCAAGCACTTTGATGCCTACGGCAGAATGAAGGAGGTACAGTATGAGATTTTCCGCTCTCTTATGTACTGGATGACAGTCCAGTATGACAACATGGGGCGGGTAGTGAAAAAAGAGCTGAAGGTGGGGCCCTACGCCAACACCACCCGATACTCCTACGAGTACGACGCTGACGGCCAGCTACAGATGGTCTCCATCAATGACAAGCCCCTCTGGCGCTACAATTATGACCTCAATGGGAACCTGCACTTGCTGAGCCCAGGGAACAGCGCGCGGCTCACCCCACTGCGCTATGACATCCGTGACCGCATCACCAGGCTGGGCGACGTGCAGTACCGAGTGGATGAGGATGGCTTCCTGAGGCAGCGGGGTGGGGACATGTTCGAGTACAACTCTGCCGGTCTGCTCATCAGAGCCTATAACCGGGCCGGAGGCTGGAGTGTCCGGTACCGCTACGATGGCCTGGGGCGGCGGGTATCGAGCAAGAGCAGCCACAGCCACCACTTACAGTTCTTCTATGCAGATCTGACCAACCCCACAAAGGTCACCCACCTCTATAATCACTCCAGCTCCGAGATCACGTCCCTCTACTATGACCTGCAAGGACACCTCTTCGCCATGGAGCTGAGCAGTGGAGACGAGTTTTATATAGCTTGTGACAACATTGGAACCCCGCTCGCAGTCTTCAGTGGAACAGGCTTGATGATCAAGCAGGTCCTGTACACGGCATATGGGGAGATTTACATGGACACCAACCCCAACTTCCAGATCATCATCGGCTACCACGGCGGCCTCTACGACCCCCTCACCAAGCTCGTGCACATGGGCCGGCGGGACTACGACGTGATGGCTGGACGCTGGACCAGCCCGGACCACGAGCTGTGGAAGCGCCTCAGCAGCAACAGCATCATGCCCTTTAACCTCTACATGTTTAAGAACAATAACCCCATCAGCAACTCTCAGGACATCAAGTGCTTCATGACAGGTAAGGCCCAGCCTCCCTCGGGAGACAGGACCCTCTTGGTTTCCCTGGTCCCCTGGCAGGACTTTATCTTCCTTGGGAAAGTGTGGGACCATGGGAAATACTTTTGCTGAGAGCATCATTTTCAAAAGTATATTTACAGCAATGCTAGTTCAGAGAGTTCTCTAGAAATAGTGGTTCTGGCATCAAATACATTTGACAGGGCCAGCCACCACCGTTTCTAAATTATCATAATACATGTCAGTTTGGACTGTTTCATATATTTATCCACTATTTCTCAAATGTATTTGACCATGAAAGCCCTTTTTCACCATGAAATTCTAATACTTTATTGAATGGATCCCTTAGAATGCACTTTGGAAGGTTTTAACGTGGAAATCAAGCTGGTTCTGAGTCCGTAATAAGTTGTTAAGGTGTAGCTAAAAGAAAAACTCAGCTCTCAATTTCTGATGATGGAATGGAAAATTCAGACCCTGAAGACAGACAGCTGAGTGAAGGATCCACCATTTCTATGCTATGATCTGTTACAAAAATTACTTAACCACTTTTCCAGTTTCTTGGTCTGAGTTAAGGTTAGAATACCTACCATGGCTGTAATTAAATAAGTATGCATATGATAAAACTTAAAGCAACCATTTAAAAAAAATAAAGACTGAAACAGAGGCAGTAGTAGAGGCTCATAAGTCAGTAGTAGGAGTCAGGAGATAAGAAGGAGTAAGAAAAACTCCAAAGATGGCAGGAAAGGGGGAGGGCACATGGAACAAATACAAAAACCAATACCTCTCTACAGCCTGGTTACAAGGCTGGAATAAGATACATTTCAGCACAGTGCCTGATTCATGTTGATTCTTTTCCTTTGCCCTCTGATTTTAAGTGAGCCATGCCTTGTACCACTGCAAAACCAACTTACAGATAAAGTGTCCCCTCCATCCCTGTACGCAGAGAGGTTGCCAGCAGCCAGAGTCCCTGCGGTGACCACTCCCAGGTTAGTCACAGAGGACTCCAGAGGGGGAATAGCTAACATGTCTGGGCAAAGCCAGTTGTTGTACGTAAGACAATGTGTGGCAGCAAACATGGGCATATTCTGGCTTGTGGGCCTGGTGGTCCCCCGGACCTTTATCCTGGGGCACAGTTTTCTTACTCCTTCTTCTTTAAAAATTTCCTTCCTTCTACAAGTGCCACCTAAGGTGCAGCCATTGTTTTAGGCATTAGGGATATGGATCCCACCACCACCCACTCGCCCTCAGCCCAGAAACCCAGGCTCCGAGAGGGGAAACAGATGCTTCCTATCCACTGTGACAAGACGTGGGTTCACAGAAGCAGCTTCTGAGGCACAGAGGAGCAGCAAACACTCCCCAGGGACTCCTGGGCGGGCTTGCAGTGTCACTGGCCGGGTGGACACCAGTTTCTTAGCAGGTGTTCATCAGGTAATGAGGACAGAGACATTCCAAGGAGTAGGAACAGCATGTGCAAAGAACACAGGCATCACAGACGGCCCATGCGAGTGCCCCTTATGGCCATGGCTTCCCAGCCCCTGGATTTAGTGGCCTCCTCCGGACTTTGTTTCTGCTGACAGCGATAAGATCATTGATTTTAGGGAAGAATTCCAAGTTATTATGTTGACAGCAGGAGTTCCAGGCATGAGGAAAGGAGAAAAAGGTGGCGCACAGGTGAGATGCAAACACACCCATGGCCTTGGGATCAGCATGGAGAGCGTGCCTGTGTTTCCCAGCATTCGCTGTGTTCAGCTTGGCTGCTAGCACTAGAGACGCTTGACAGATTGAGATGACATTTCCATTACATCTGTCTGCATTAAGCACGCCTCCTGCCTTTCCTCACAGTTTCCCGTGAGACATCTTGGCGGGTTACCATAGCCAGAAAAAAAAAAAAGGTGCAATAAGAAATGTACTTTTCCATCAAAAAAACTCACAGTTCACCAAAAACACTGTTACTCCCTCACCCCATTTTCTTTGTACATCACCATATGTGCACGATCCCCTCCCAGAACAGCAATGGCATGACTGGCTGCTCTGTGCTAGGCATCTGCAAATGTGGTCTCCTTAAATTTGGTGCGAGCCGGGTGAGGACACCATCATTCTGTCCATGTCTGAGGCACCAGCCAGCAGCAGAAGGCCTGCCCAAAGAGAACAGACCACGCCCCAGACTCCAGGACACTGGCCAGGTCACTCACACTGCTCTCCAAATCCCATCTTTAACAAAGCCACACCTACACAGGGGATTTTCATTTTGGTCAATCGTGCAAGTATCTCACATACTCTATGCCAGAACTATACTAAAGACCTGCGGGGAGTCCAGCCTGGAGCTGCCTTCAGGGACACAGGCCTGTGGCTGCTTTTGTCAGATGCCTTTCCTGTCCCTGAAGCACTAGAACAAAAGGTTTGCATGAGTGTGACCGTCCCTATTTTCTAGTCAAATCTACACCACTGAAATAGCAGGGTTTGCCATGACCCACAAAATTGATCTCACTATGTAGTGAGTAGCTTCCCACAGCTTGAAAAGCTGGTGTACAAAACTGAGATGTCACATGAACTGTCAAGCCTTTGGCAGATTAGAAAAGATCTGCAGTCACAAAAAGAAACCAAAGGGGCCAGGGAGATGGCTCAGTAGAATAAGCGCTTCCCTGGCAAACGCAAGGGTCTGAGTTCAATTCCTGGTTCCGCCAAAAAAGAAAGAAAGAAAGAAAGAAAGAAAGAAAGAAAGAAAGAAAGAAAGAAAGAAAGAAAGAAAGAGAAACCAACCGACCGACCAACCAACCAAGATACTACTGACTCAACAAACTCTACCTTTTGTCTTCCATGTGAGCTACATGGATCCTCACTCACACCCACCAACAATAAAGAAAGAGCATATTGTTTTTCCACACGTCTTCAGGAGTCCTGAGATATGCTTCAGTTGGGTCGGAACACTGACTGACTTAGCCTGGACCCATAACTAAGTCAGCACCCCTAGAATTATGTGAAGACCCCAGAAAAGAAGTCAGGATGGGATGCTGGGAAGCCTACCAGAAACTATCTACCATGGAAGTATGGTAGCACCTCATCTTGCCCTGGCCTGGGAGGTGGAAATGCCAGCACTGCTTACAGAGCAGAAAGTGAAGTCGGAGAGGCCAGGTGACCAGCCCCACCCTGCAGGAGGTGAGGTGACCAGCCCTTCCCTGCAGGGGCGAGACTGGGTTCTGCTGCCCCAAGCTCCTTGTGTGGATCAGAATGTACTTAGTAAACCACAAAGCTGAGCACCCAGGACAAGGATTGTTGTGTTTGCATTTCCTTACTCTGGGATGTGTGGATAAGGAGAAGCTTTTCAATGGGAAGGAAATGTTTACATCTGCCGTAACAAAATAAGGACTCCCAGCCTTCAGGACAGCCCGCAGGAGCCCCAGTAAGTAACTACACCTTCAGCACTTTTCCAAAAGGCAGAGAAGAGAGTTTCCCACCTTCCATCACTGATAATTAAGATCCAGCCCTCCTTTCAGACCCCTGCTTTTCTGAGAGTCTACAGTATTCCACATAGAAGCTTTCTTTGCAACTACAGATTCACATGCAAGTTCTCGGTCTCTAGCAAAACAGCTTTGTAAGCCATTTTCTCCTGCTCTGTTTGTTTTAATTTCCCAGAGAACCATCTGCCAAGAATCATGGAATCAAGAGTGTCTTAGAAATTCATTGTGGAGGCTGGGGAGAATAGTTCAGCAGTCTAAGTGCCTCTCTGGCAAGCGCAAGGACCTGGGTTCAATCCTCCCCGACACACATGTCGTGCCTGCCCTGTATCAAGCCAACCACCAAACCCGGGCATGGTGGTGCAAGCCTGTAATTGCAGCACTGGGGAGGCTGAGACAGGAGGATCGCTACGAGTCTGAGCTGTGTAGTGAGACCCTGTATCCCATAAAAAAATAATAATAATAATTTTAAAAAGAAATTCAATAAGGAAAGAGACTCTGGAAAAAAGTTGGTCAGTTGGTCTCAGGCCAGCCAAATAGCTCAGTGGATTAAAGTGAACCCCAGGGCACGCTGAGACTGCGATTGAGACCGGGTGTGGTGATGCATGCCTGTAATCCCAGCACTTGGGAGGCTGAACACAGGCGGATCACTAGGAGTCCAATCTATGTAGTGAGACCCTGTACTAAATAAAAAATAATAATAAAAAGAAAGAAAGAAAAAAGTTGGTCTAAGCCTTTCCTCAGCTGAGAAATTGGAGGTCCCACGTCCCTCCCAGAGGTGTGGGGTGGGGCAGTGGAGGACCGGACCTGGGCTGGACCCTCCAGGTATATGAAGTGTAGTGACTCGTGTACAGACATGGGCCCCTTCTGCCCTTAAGTGAAAACACTATGGGTATTCTCTAAGTAAAACCATGTCTGTTGATACACAAACAAAACCTCAGAGAAGTTAAGCTAAATTAGCCAGCGTCACACAATGTGTAAGCTGGGGAGCCCAGACCTGGGCTGGCTTGCCTGGCCTTGGCCACAGGGCTCCCTTTCTTCTATGAACTGAGCAGTCGCACCTGGATTTCTTTTCTAACCATGGGCAGTGTCCTTTCCTCCCATCACTCCACCTCTGGGTCTCTAGGCCTCACCTCCAGCAGCGGGACCCGCGGACAGCTGAACACAAAAGCAGGGCAAACATGAGGGCCTTGAGTGGAAGAGAAAGGCAGGGCTCTCCCCAGGTCACGCCCACGCTGAGGTGAGGCCCCACGCGCTGGAGGAAGGCAGTTCTCAGCAGACCTTAAGCGGCCCTCCTGATGGGGACCTACTGGAAAGAAGCCAAAAGCGGGGAGCCTTGGGGCTCTGCTCAAGCGCTTTCCTCCCGAGGACTTTGGATCCCGAGTCTCTGGCCAGCAACTGCAGTGTGGTCTTCAGCCCCGCCTCCCCGCGGAGGCTGCAGCATCCTAGGACACAGGGTGTGGTCTGTCCCTGTAGTCTCCCACACAGGCCCTGTGCTTTGTGGTTCTTCCTGAAGGTGTCTGAGCTCCTCTCCCCCAGCCTGCTGCAAGTGCCCCCTCCACTGACGCCCACAAACTTCACAGAGCTTTTGGTGTCTGGCTTCGGTACTGCCTTCCCCATGTGAACTTGCCAGTCCACCCGGTGAAGGATCTCTGCTCTGCTCCGCTCTCTTCCCCTGTTCAGAAGTTATCCACACCATCCTCATCCCCAGCCCAGGGGCCAGGCACCTCACAGTACACACTCAACCCTCTCCTCCCTTCCGGCCTCGGGTTCCTCACTCTATGCTTCTGTGAGCCAAACACTTGTGGCAAAGCCTGCCTGTCCCTACAGGTGGCGCACAACGAGGAACTGCGGGCCTCGAGGCCAGCGTGCAGCCTGCAAAAGGAGCGGGGCAGGTCAAGGCAGAGGAAATGAGGCAAGGTGAAAAATTCAGATTTTGCACCTGCTTTAGCCATACCCAGTGGCCTGCTGGGCCTGGGGCTCTAACTCCTGCTGAGAGTAAGGAGAAGATTGTTTCTTTCTGAAATTTTTTCCTTGCAAATCAGTCATTAAATTCTTCCCTTTGGGGAGAGGGATTGAAAGGAGGGTAGGGAGGGTTGGGGAGAGGTGGAGAATCAAGTTCTATCATGGACAGGTAAAAATTCCCTACAGTGAGTGAGACTATTGTGTATACCTAAAATTTACCAGTAAACTTAAATTATTCCCTTTGGTTCCAGCTGTCTTTGCATTTTCCTGTTGGTGGTGGAGGTGGAGGTGGGGATCTTCAGCCATCTGCAGCTGCCCCCAAGTACAAGCTGGAGACCCCAGGGCTGGGAGCGAGAGCAGGGGGAGAAGCCTGGAAACCCAGGCTCTGCTCACTTCCATCTCCTGGGCACCTCTGTGAGGAGGCTGCTGGGTCGCAGGAGCACTTGTGGCTCGAAGACTGCGTGTGACTGTTTCCCAACATTTTTGTAGCAGTGGCTCGCCACACCCACGCCCCTGCTGCAGCCTCTTGGGGCTGCTTGAGTGGGATGGGGCACAAGTGCCAGTCCACTAATGCCACGGGATGCTTCCACTTCTCTCCTATCCAGATGTAAACAGCTGGCTGCTCACCTTTGGATTCCAGCTACACAACGTGATCCCTGGCTACCCCAAGCCAGACACAGATGCCACGGAGCCATCCTATGAGCTCACGCACACACAGATGAAGACACAGGAGTGGGACAACAGCAAGGTAATGCCCACGTGTGGCAGCCTACACCGTGGCCCCTTCTTGAGTTGCAAGAAGGGATTCCCTCCAGCTTTGTAGGAAAGGTCTGGCCAATGGTGGATACCAAGGCAGGGTCCCCACAGTGCCTGGCCCATGTATTCTGCACACACGTATGCTAGCTCCAGGCAGGCCATGAAGTTCCAGCTGAGGCAGCACATGGGCACAAGCTGCACGAAAGAGTTCTCTGTGCCACACTGAAGTTCTACAGAAATAATAAGACTTTGTCATTGTCTGAGCAACAGTGCAGGGAGGGAAGACACATTCTAAATATAAATGTGACATTTCTAAGCTCTAATGCACCTGACCTTGGGTGAAGTATTCTACATAAGTTCACTCACAAACACCTCATGGTGTTTTTGTCCCTAGCTTGCAGATTTACTGCCTGAGGCTTCCCAACATCCCACAGCAAGGAGGGCTGGAGTTGAAATCTAATCCCAGATTAGTCTGTTCTGTATCATCTTGCTGCATGCAGGGCCTGGCATACTATAGATGTTCAAAAACATTCCCTTCCTTTTATGACCCAGTTTCAAAAGCACAGACTATCTACCTGTGAAGATCCTTAAAAGCAGTTTCTTCCCTCCAGCTCTTCACTTCATGCATTCACTGCTCAGCCCCCAGCCCCACACTCACTTGCTCTCTACTGGCTGCCAACTCTGTGCCTGGCCTTGTGCTGTTCACACTGGGTGCAGGGAAAAGTCAGAGGCCTTCAGGGGACCCGAGCCCGGGGAATAGGAGGGAAAGCAGGGCTTCTTGGTAAGCTAGCATCCATGTCCTACTCCAGCTTGTTCCTTCAGGCCTCACTGTCCCTGTCTTCTGGATTCCAGGGTGCTGTCTGCGCTGTGTTGAGGTGGCACTTTACACCTTCCTCTTGCAAAGCACTGCCCACTCTACATCTCAATTCCTGTTTCCCTTCTCACCCCCGCCCCCGACTCTGGGCCACAACAGCTCGAGTCACCTTTAGTACCCAGCACACTGGCCACCTGCCATAGACACACAGAGAATTCTGTCTGCTGAGGAAGTAAGCAGCCCACTGTACAGATAAGGAGACCGGGCTCAGAGGAAGACCTAACGCATGACACTGGCTGGGAGGTGCCACAAGGTCATGAGAGCCCAGCCCCGCCTGGCCTGCTCCAGTCCTCCTGCCACCCAGCCCTCTCCTGTCCCCACCACCCTGGGCCTAGCCCAGATGCCCCAACATCTGCCGTTTCTCAGACTGGTTTCAGCAGTGTGGTTCTTTCCTCCCTAGCCAGGTTCCCTCTGCACTCCTTGGAGTCCCATCTCTGACTGCCTGTTTGCCAACCTCGCCTGTCGATGAGTTATTGATTTCTGCCCTTGGCAAGCATCGGAGATCTTTGTTGTTGAGCACTCCAGCTTTCGTGAAACTCTAGGAAATAATTGTTCACAGACAGGGTTCTATTAATTATAAAGAAGACTTAATTTCAGAGGGAGGTGATGGGCCTACTTCTAAAGCCATTTCCCTGATTACTGATCGGGCCCTGGAGCCTTTCTCATCCTGGCTTTCCCGAATTCCCTGAGTCGTTGGCAGGACAGGGAGATGGCTTGCCACGCTAGTGGGGCTGTCCCGTTCCCTAAGCAGCCAGGTGCAAGGTCACCTGAGCAGCCCCAAGGAAGCACTGTGGGGCAGAGGCTCTTCTTAAAAAATCACATGTAATTATGGCACAGAGCAACACAACAGTAAGAGAGCTGATATCGATCACTACTACTTCTTATTGTGCATTTGTAGCCTTTCTTACCTTATCTTTCAAGTCCCAATTCAAGCATTAGCCTAAACATGAACCCCACTTTCTCCATCTCTCTTCTGTACCTTCAGTCTGAGCTGCTTCAAGCCTTGTTTCCTTTTCCCTACTGCAGCTGGACTGAAGCACCTCTGGGATCACATAGATCTGGCTTTGAAGGTTGACTCAATATTAGTCATATTACAATGAGCTAGTTATAATGTCTCTAAGCCTTAGACCCATAGAAAGAAAAAGAGAGGAACAGAACTTACCATGTGAAATTATTGTGAAAATCAAATGAGACAATCAATGGTAACTGTTCAGCTTGAAGAACAATACGTTAACTAAAGCTGCTATGCTTACCTATCTTAGGCTACCAGTTATCACATTGTGATTGCAGTTGTCATTGTGATGTCTGGATGGGCAAAGATGTCCGATTCAGTTCTACATCTGCAGTGCCCAGAAAAGGCCAGTCCAGAATAGAAGCTCCCTAAACAGTCTCTAGAAGGATGGATGGATGAATGGATGGATGGATGGATGGATGGATGGATGGATGGATGGATGGATGGATAGACTGGTAGATGGATAGGTGGGTGGAAGGATGGTTGGGTGGGTAGATGGATGGGTGGGTGGGTCGATGGATAAATGTATGGATGGATGGATGGATGGGTATATGGATG